CATGAGGTTCACACAGGCCCACCTCTCCAGCTTGTAATATTGAATGCTTCTCTTAGTTCAAATTCTTGATCTTAAGTTTCTGAAGTACTCTCTAAATTGCAAAATGATTACCGAAAAAAATATTGTTTGTTTATTTATTATTATTTAGTATCCTCCTCAGATTGTATTCTCAGACTGAATTACATCAATAACAAAATAAAACCTCTTAAACCATCACAGACATCAAGGTAGCAGGTATCAGCCATTTTTTATGCAGATAAACCTTTGAATGGGATGAGAGACTTCATTGCTGTGTTCCTTAGATTTTTGCTGGTGGCAGAACAAAACCCACAAGTTTGGAATTCAGATTCTGTTCCAAGCATGATGTTCACCTATGAATTGACACATTTCTTTTATTTGAAGTTTATAAGAAATTCAGCCTGTGGCAGGCATTTGAAATGCAAATTTTTTAGACTAAATAAGTAGTAGTTACCAAATTTATAAGCATTAGAAAATGGATTACTGAAATCAAAAGTTTTAGAGAAAAAATAATTAACAATGCTACCACCTACACTTGTAATATCACCTTCCTCTGTTTTCCTCAAGATATTCCAGGTCACCTCACTGCTCAGAGGATAAAGAATGTTTTAGGGTTTCAAGCTTACTCCACCTAAACCACTGAAGCCATTTGATTAAATGAATGGTAAAAGCAAAAGATGTCTACTACAACACTTTTTGGAAAAGGGCTGATGAGAGTCCAATATTTATAAGACTCAGTAAAATCTTTGGAGATTAAATTGCACAACAGAAAAGGACAAAACAGAGAAGGACTGGAAGGAAAGGTAAAGGTCTAAAGAAATATCAGTGAGGTTTAGTCAATGTGTTTCTCAACTGAACCTGATAAAGGGTTCCTTCTGTTTCAAAGTGCGGTATACTATACAGTGCTATTTACAACACTGAACAAGTTGTTCCGGAGACTCAGGAAACTAATATTCTGCTTATCAGGAAGTTTTATTAACCAGCTAGTAAATGGCATAGTACTCCAGACTTTAACACACAGAATTTTGTAGCATACTGCCATATCCATAGCCATGAACAATAAACAAACATATTAAAGACCAAATGTTTATATCCTAGTGATTGCAATATGTAAAGCCAGATACAAATTTTTGTGGAAGTAATTTCATTGATTGTCACAGGCAGGGATCAGATAACTCTTGCACTGCAGCAATGCTCAGAAGAGCTTATTATTCATTTGGCCAAATATTATTCTTTTTGATGTTTTAAAATAGCTGACCAGTTAGTGTGGTCAAAAATATCTGAGGAAGGAAAAAAGGTGAGTTAAAAACAAGAAAGCAGGTGTTGATACTCGCTCATGACGGAGTCAATCTGACCGTTAACCTAGCTCCTGTGAATGACAACACAGAAGGATATAAAGGATATAAAAATCATGACGTGCCTGAAGACACAAGCTGAATTCTCTGCTCTGCCACAGGCTCGCTGTGACCTCCAGCAAGTCACTTGGGCCCACATCCACAGAAGTATCCTGAAATTGATTTCAAGTGGCACATAATTCAGTTAAACATTAAGTGTTTCAGTGCCACATGAATCTTGGTCTTAACCTCTTGAATGGGGATAACAGCTCTTTCCCACCTGACAAGACAGTGTCAATGATAGTACAATGAAGATCATGAGACACTTGCATACTGAGCTAGTGAGGATTAGGTGTGAATAAATAAGAAACATTTTCATTACTGAACTGGCCCACTCCATAGCCAGAATGTTTTTATTACATACCTCTATGGGAAGGTACTACATATGGAAGAGGTAAAATAGGTCATACTTTTAATTCTCTGAGTAAAAATGAACTAATCTCATTTTTCAACCTCATGATTTTAGATATTACCAAAAATCCTTCTGCCTCCTTGATGGTACTCAACCTTCAGGGCATCTGTGGAGTGAACAATCAATTCTTGTTGCCATTATTCATATGATTTTGTTTTGATATTGAAAGCTTTATTCCTTTTTACCCAATAAAATTGTCTCACAGATATGTGGGGGGAGTGGGTTCATGATTTTGTATTGTTTGATTTAGCATATTCATCAACTAGGTTCTGTACAAATAGAGGACAAAAGAGGTCTTTTGCTCCACAGATTTTACATTCTCTTTAACTGCTTCCTGTCTTTGCAATGCTGTTTGCTTTCACAAGTCAGGTCAAACATTTCACTCAACAAACTTTGGACACCAACATCTGTGATGGTGCTTGAATATATGGGAGTTTGTTGGTAAACATTGCTTGACCTTACTTCTAATTGAAATTGATGGAAAGCTTTACAAAATTTTGGAAAGTATGCCAAAGCCAAATGGCACTGAATTGATTTTTTCCACCAGCAGAATATCAATATTTTGCGATTTTTTGCTTAAAAGTACTCTTACCTGTGTAATTAGCAGGCTGATAGTAATTGCAGTTAAGATCAAAACATTGTTTTCAAACCATATATTTAAATATTCTTCACATCCCTAAGCAGGTGCAAATGAACAGATTTCAAGAAAAATAATTTCAACTTTTGAATTCATATTGCATCTTTATAAGAACATACTTTTAAAATATATAGAACTTTCTGCATGTTATGATGGGTCCTGATATTTACTTGCCAGAAATCAAATACATCACTAATGTGTATTGCAGAGAGCTAGCTATAACGTTTTGAAAACTATCTGAACTAAACAGATTGTTCTGAAGTAAATCTGATACTTTTGTATGGAAATACAGAGCTTGTGACTTAATCAAAAGGGAATTTGCTTTTGTGTGAGTATAACTGAGACACCACCTTACAAGTAAATGCTTGAAGGAATATTTTCAAGTCTTCACTGATTCTCATACATTATGCATCCTGAAATGGATGTGCATATTTTCCAGATTACAGTCTATTCTTATTATATTGCTTTTTAAAAGAAATTTTAAATTACATAGCTTAAAATAGCTATAAATATAATAAAACATATAAATAAATGCTTTCTATATTTTGAAGTGATCTTTTAATAATTACAAGGGTTTGTAGAAACAGGGAACAATTCCAAACCAATCAGGGAAGGAAGACAATACCACATGCTATTGACAACATCCTTTCTGTTATTTACTGTCCTGCATTGTCAAGAAATAACCTTTGCCCATTGAATTTTTGTTCTCATTGGATAGTCCTATTAACACTGGAGGGTTTATAGAAGAGCATAATATGTATTGCTTTGCTCCAGTTTTCTATTATCAGGTGACAAAATCTGATGGTCCTATGCAAACTGGTCCTTTGATATTAAGACATGTAAATGCTAACATGAACTGATCTCGGGAAACACATTTCATATATCAATGCCTTGCTCATTCCTCTTATCCTGTAAAGTATTGAAGATGCTATGGAAACAGATAATACAAACAGGTGGAGACATTGCTGACATTCTGTAAGTAATGAATAGTAATTAGTAGTGGAAAATGTACTGTATACTTTTTATATACTGTTACTTTCCATTGTCAACATTGATTTACAGCATGGATTTTTGAATGCCAAATGCTTACTACTTCTTAAACCACAACTAAATGTCCCTGTGATATTGATCTGTGATATTCACAACTCCTGTTTTCTTGAAATATCCTTAATTTAGAACTGCCTACATGACTGACACCTAATGAGTAAAAGGTCACTTCAGAGTGACCAAGGACAAAACAGTGAATATTATTAATACTTTGGCATTTGTAAGCCAAGTCTCAGTGGAAAACACATTTTGTGTATTTTTTCCAAAGACGATTTACTAGAAAAATTTACATTCTTCAAGACAAGTTTTTTATTTCTTATCATACTGTACGTTGAATCCCTTGGGACATCACAAAACCATTTCTTCAGACTAGATTTTATGCATGAACATGGGTTTTGAGTACTATTTTCCTTGGTTTTATTCCTTTCCCACTGTGTGACATTGTCTCTTCCACAGCATTCCATCTAGAATAGAAATCCTGTAACTTGTAACTGACACCTATAAAGGCTGTTACACAGAGGAATTTTCACCCCAACCAGTGCTAGCTATTTGATTTAGTTGATTAAATTAGCTAGCTAGTTCCCCTCTGTATTCAGTAGAGAGAGGTTTCTGCAGGGGATATTTTGCCCTTGTATATGTATAATTTCCCATGATATGCACTGGATAGTACAGAAGCATATGATATTAAAATATACTTTTGAAAGGAACTTTCTTTTAGACTCTAAATTATTCTAGAACATGTGTAAATAGGAAAAAAAAAAATTACAAACCCAAATTAAAGCAAAACATTTTGACTATCCCCCTTAACCTTCCAAAGTAAATTCAGTGTAGAAATTGTGTGTAAGCAGTAAGCTATATTAAGGATGTGCTCTCTGTGAAGCACAACAAAAAGAAGAAAGAAAACAACACATTATTGGAAACAATATAATGAATGTTGTTTCATAAAGAATGCAGTAAATGGGAACAGATTTTATAAAACATATTTTAATAAATAAAATTAAAAACACAGACACTGTTTTACTCTGGTCTAGGAACTTAAATAAGGACCAGATTTTGAAAACTTTTTTAGTTATTTCTTTGTCACTTCTAATGTTGTATTTGCAAAAACTCTCTGCTCTTAGCAAGAGGAGATCTTTAGAAAGTCTCCCTATTCCAACTTGTGTTTTAGCAGCAATTGATCTCTTGTGAACACATAGCTCAAACTCAAAGCACAAAGCAAATACTCTGGCCTGTTCAAATGGATTGTCAGCTAGCTCTTCCCAATAATCTATTTCAATATCAGTAACACAAAAGCAAATCAAGCCATCAAAGAGCTTAGAGAACAGAATTCTTGTCATGTAGGAAATTCAAGCAGTTTTTCATTCTGAATGAGGATGAAACTTCAGAAATGGTTGGTTTTGTTGTGGTTTTTTTTTGTGGGGGACAAAAAGTTTGCCATTTTTTGGCTTAGAGATGCTAAACAAAAACATCTTATTTTGGTGTTTTTAAGAGTCAATCCACAATATACGGCTTCTTAATTTTGAAAAATTAGATAAATTAGCCAAAACTGTCTTTTCTCTGTAAAAAAATTCAATTTCAACAACCCTATAAGTTCAGTTAAAAAAATCATCAGCTTTAAGCAGTACATTAAATTTTACCACAAATATATAAAAATCTAGTTCTTCTCTAATACTATCCATGATCTTAGGCTTTTTATTTTTCTCACAGCAGATGACGATGATATTGGAAAGAGCTGGAAGCATGTAACACAAGACTCGGGGATTGCAGTTTTCATTCAAAAGTGTGACTACAGTTCACCTTTGCAGATTTAATATAATTTTAATATAATTTTATCTGGCTTAGGTACCAACAGCAAAATATCCACAGGACTTTGAGATATGCCACAATTTAAACATGCCCACTGGAGTAGGTGGTGGGTAGGTAGCTTTGCTGAAATCTGTGCTCCCACAACTGTTCAATGAAACTGAGCTCAAGTATACCAGCATATAGTCTAGCCGCACCATTGACATAATGAGGTCACCATTAATCACTAGAGAAATCATTAATGCAATGAGAGAAGACCAGATTTTCAAAGAACAGATTTTAAATATATATTACAAATGCATTTGTAATCTTGAATCTAGACATATATGCTTTGTGAGTTATCTGGAATCATAAATTATCTTCAACATTTGTCAAGAATATAGAACTCGCCTCTGCAAGAAGTCATACTAAGGGACCCACAGCTGGTCTACAGAAGCATATTAAAACCATATTAAACTGTTAAGCTGTAGTGTTTGTAATTAAAAGCTCATGATGCAGAATTAATTTGAAGGGCCACTGGTCAAAACCATTGCTAACAACTTCCAAAATAATTGATCCCATACAAACGCTTTAAAGGACTTTTCTGAAAAAGGAAACAAATTACATGCTGCCAGGCCACGAAAATTATGATGATTAATAATTAAGTATGTGTGCTGAAAGTATTGATTTGCAAGCTCATTTGAGGCTTTAAGCATTATTTCTGTGAGAGTCTCAGTGCAATACCTATTCGAATGGTCTCACAGTAAGAGCTCTGCTTTGATCTCATAGCATCTCTGCTTGTCCATAGTTCAGGTCAGTCTTGAGACCTAAGCAGACCAAGTGTTTCATGATATCTAGCACTGTCAGAGACATTAGGAAACCCGTTGCTTTTTTCAGCTGCAGTAGACTTCAGTGACCAGTACTGTCTGCTCCTACATACATTGACAAGTCCTTCAAAAGCCTAATCTCATCCACAATAATCCATATAACAGCAAGAAATCTGCCCACCCACATCAGATATTAGCAGCGGATCTTGAAAAACTAATCCTTTACTGAAGGAGTTGTTTTTTTAAACTAAGTTCTGATTGGTATAAACATTTTTTGATTGATGCAGTATTTTTGGTGGTGATATTTTGTGGGTTTTTTTTCTTACATTGTGCTGCACAGCATTCAGAATGTTCCACATGGGTTCCTGCTCAGCCAGACTCTCATTGCCGTATTCAGAAATAACTTCATCAGTTCTGTTGTTCCACTGATGGTGGACCTGTTCACAAATATTTATAGCATTTAGTATATGCATATTGATAAAAGTATAGTTGGATAGTACAATCCTTGAACTTTTATTGATATTCAGGTTTCTTCAAGGGTAACTTGCAAGCAGCAGCATTCTAATCAAGTTGCTAAATATGATCTAAGACATGTCATAGCCATTGCACTAATGGGAAAGTTGAAAGCAAAAGGGGAAGATAAATAAAGTGACCCAAATCACATACATAGCACAAGAAGGCACAAGGTGATTAGCCCAAATGGAACCAGAAGAGCCAGGGAACATAGTTTAGATGCACCTGATCTGTCATGAAATACTAACTCCTACCTCTCATATGTATTTTTAATAAGCACAGCACCATATAATAACAAGCACAAACCCAAAATTGATTCTACAACCAAAGTGATACAAACTTGTGTGAGCACCATACAATCTGGCCAGGACACGTATTGCTTTGGGTTAGAGGAGTTAGCAGCTCATGTTGGCCTTAGATTAGGCATCTTTGCAGAGACTGTTAAAATACATCTTCCACACCTTGAAGAGGACAAGCTGATCACAAACAGTGTGATTACAGAGAGTGTAGCAGGGAAGACAGGCAGAAAAGAACTCCTAGGCCACTGAAAGGTTTCATTACAAAACAAGAAAAAAATGAGGCTTCTCCAACTCATTCCCCTTACTACAGCCATCCTAAAAACAAAATTCAAAAGCTTGCACAGGCACAGTGAGTGACGATGTTACCATCATTTATTATACTTTAGCAATATTTAGTTAAGGTTGAGATCAAGTGCAATTACAGTTATATAAAATAAATTTAACTGCAATCTTTCAGCCAATTTTCCTAGCACAAATAGGTGACTCCAGAATGCATCATTCCCGACATTTCAAATCTTTCAATATGTAAACCCATCATACAAAACAGGGAGGACTCCATCATTATAAATTAACCTTTAATGAAGAAATCTTGATGATACAGATTCACTTTGATGGAGTAAAACTAATTTATTTGTGGTGTACCTTGCTTCCTGTTGTTAAAAGCAAAGATACATATTCCTTATATTAGACCTCTACTTGGACCTAAAATACAGGGTCAAACAATAAAATGAGTAATTCATTAGCATACTTTGCATGCCATAATACCAATGACTCCTACTATCAATTGCACAGCAGACTACCCTTACTACCTGCTAGCAGACACAGGTTAGCATCTAATGCTTTCTTCCACCTCTGCTGATGTCCATCCAGGAAAGAGGGACTTTCTGGGTCATCCCAGAAAAAGGAATAAAGCTGTCCTTTACGCTGTTGTTTCCACTTTCCTGAACAGGAAGAGTACGTTTTGTTGCAGAGGAGGAAGTGGAAATATATTTCCATGCACTCTCCATTACAACTATTGAACCATGCTGAATTCCTCAAATTAAGTTTTCCACATCTTCTGCTATGCCTGGTCGACATGCAGAATACTCAAGTTCAAACAAATGGTGATACAGCATACAGTGAGAACTGACTATTAGAATTTTTTTAATTAATTGCAAGAAACTATTTTGAAATTATCAGCAGTCTCACATAATTTATTTACATACCTCTTCTTTCTTCACAAATATCAGCACCAACATTGACCTCTGAGTAACAAACACCAGGATCTGAAAACTCACACACTGAAAAAAACCCTAAATTATGTATAAACATAATATTGAACAAGAGAGCAATGTAATAAAAAATTCCAGAAGCTCATGCATAATCCTTCATGACTATTATTTAGAGTCATTCCAACAAAAATAAGAAATATTTTTTCCTGGAAACCCTCAGAAAGTGACATCACAGTCTAAGAGGCAGGCTTCAGGCAAAGCACAACTGACTGTTTTGGGCTTAAAGACAAAGCCATGACTTTCTTGGAAGTGAAGAACAAAAGCTGTTGTTAAGCAGCTGTGCTTGACTGAATAAAGCTCTTATTTCATTATTTCTTGTTTGAATTATCATGGTACCTAAGTCTCATGCCTAGTCAAGGACTCCTTTGAGCTATAAGATGCACAAGCAAAACAAAAAGATAGTTCATTTTGTTCATTTTCAGTGAGACCAAATTTTCAACCACAGTATCTAGATTTTGTCATATTAGATACTTCCATGGAAGTTTGAAAACAGACACTTCTTTCTCTTTCATCACCTAATATATTGTGAGGCAAACACTACATGCCTAGGGCAGTAGCAGGAAGGAAGGAAGAACAATATTTCTGGTTATAGCACCTGAGCTCCTCTCACTCCTGTGCCAGCTGATATTTGTAGTGCTTAACAAATGAATCAGTAGAAGAGTTCTCTGCATCAGCCTTCACATAGTCTAAAACAGATTGCTCAAAAAGGGTGACAGTAAACAAAAGGTAAAAGAAAAAAATGTAATCAAAGTGACCATAAGAATGTATAGTTACAGTGTAATTTTTCAGAAATCAAAGTGTTCTTCCCTTAAAAAGCAGGAA